AAATATCCCCACTCTCAGGATGCTGAGCCACTCTTTGAAGACTATTTGTGTCCAGTGGATAGAATGGTCTCCACAGACCTTACAGAGACTTCTCACTGGGTAAACCGAACGCTGCGTCTAGGCCTGCTAATGCTTCTGCAAGAGAAACGCATCAGCTGAGGCTGAATACTTCTTACTAAGGTAGCAGTAGCAAAACCTAGGTCCCTGGTTAAGTCTAGTTATTGTTAATCAACTCTACTGCTTTAACATGGTTTGTTATATACTCATGATGTGGTGCAGTAAATTTTGCAAAAAAAAGGACATTGTAGTGCTTTGCAAATGACTCTACTGGGACTTATGCACACGGCTGAGAATGGCTGCACAAGGTGATGTAGCTTACCAAGCAGCTGATTCAGTGCAATGGAAGTGCAATATCAGCTAGACCACACGAAGTGCCATACCCTGAAATATGTGACTCATCATTCTTCCTGCATGACTGGTCAAACTTGGGCTCCCTTATGGTTTTAGTAGTACTGTCAAGCAAACCATTAACATGACAGGGAGTACATCTACACCAGATGCTCATTGCGCAGGAGCTGAAAAATATCGCATAGTAGCACTTCACAGCACAGACAGTGCTAATATGCTACAGCACAGTGTTATTAGGCTACTGCACAGTAGCGTCACCAAAAAGACGTTTGCCAGTGCTACTATGCAGTAACTCTGGTAGTATGCAGTAACTCTATGTAGTAATTGCTAATAAAAGTACTATATAAATGTGCAGTAACGACTGCGCAGTAGTGTCTCATGTAGGCAGTAGGTCTCATGTAGGCCAGATTTGCGCTATAGTTTCAGGCTCTGTCACAAGCCACTGGTGATCTCCATACAGGTAATATGCAATAATATAAAGCTTTGGGATGGATAGGTTTTTTGGAGGGTTGATAAAATTGTATTAATTCATAAAGAAAGCGATCAAGTGGGACTAATTCACTGCTAATGTTGTACATACTTTTTAAGCCAGTAGCCCAGAAGCCATTCCTTCCATGAGAGCTCCACTAATCGTTAAGGGGAAGACTACCAGGGGACTGGGAGACCCAAGTTCTAGGCACCTTTTACCAATAAGGAATTTGAACCTGCATCACAGTAATATACTCTAGCCACTATGCTGTGGTGTGACTAGTCATTAGCCAAAAACACTCTCCAGCCTTGAAGTTGACCCCTAGTTAGCTAGGAGGGAAAGATATGTGGGGCCAGGAGAAGCAGTACAAGCCGGATGTAGTATAGCTCAGTGAGAAGAACCTGCACGAAACTATCCGTTTTATGCAATGTACAACAAAAAAAGCCAATGAGGTAGAGGCTCCATCTCTTCCAAGGCAGCATTCCCCTCTTAAAGTCACTTCACTTTCAGCTTACTTCAGACCTCCTGTTCCTAATCCAGGGTGCGAGGACCTAAACTGAGCCCTGGTCTGAGGGCTGTACCAGGGCTGACCTCCTACAGAGCACCCGCAGTGCTGAATCCTGTATGCATGCTGCACATGCCAGCCTCTGAGCTTGACACAGGGTATGTGCTGCCTATGGCACACGGACTGGACCAGGCAGTACAGGGGGTCAGTCCACGACACCACATTCAGCCTGTGCCCTGGACCCCTGTGCTACATGCGACACCACGTCTAGTCCACGTGTGGTGGGAAGCACATGCCCCATGCCAGCCCTAGGGGCAACATGCATAGTGAGCCCTGTGGCCAGCTGGTCCAGCATGCAGCACATAGGGCTGAATGAACTAATACACACTGCACAAAGCACAGGGAGAGAGCATGGGGTGCATGGTCTGTGCAACACCCTGCTGACTGACCCTGCGCATGAACTCTGGGTCTGGCAGGCTGTGAGTGCACTCCACATGCCAGCCCCTGTGGCACCTGTAGTATGCAAGGCCTGCATGAAGCCCCCCCAGACCAACCCCTTGTGCCGTCTGTAGCGTGCACAGCGTTGGGTCCACCTTATGCACCGGCTGGGGCTGGTTAAATGACCCATGGGCCAGATAATACATCTCCACGGGCCGGATGTTTGACCCCCCTGTCCTAACCAATGACCCACTGGCCTAAAAGATGGGAGGTCTTCCCCTTTCTCCCCCCATTCTGACATATAGGTGCATGGGAAAAGATTTCAAACTTTGTATGAAAATCAGAAACTGCACTTATACAGGTACAATAAAAAAGGATTTAGCCCTTTCTGGATGTGGCCCAAGGTACCATTATACCCTGCACAAGGTTACCCTCCCTTCCTTCTGAAGCACCCACATGCAGAAACATTTACTCAGTTAATCCGCACATATCCTCCTGCACTGGTCACCACCCTGACCACTATGCTGTGTACTGACATGCCGCCATCCCATGCAACTGAAAGCGACTCAGGGCCCCCTGCTCCTCAGAAGGGATTTTCTCCAGGTCAATGAGCAAGAAAAAAATAAATTAAGAAGACTAAAGGGGAAGTTGTGTGAATGATTGCTAAACTGATGTGTTCTCATCATCTCAGAAAACACAGCCAAAATTAATGTACAATCTTCCAGTAAAACAACTAACAAACGGAAGACTGCTGTAAAATCCTAGGTCAGATCATTTTTCCCCATGCAAATGAGAAGCCGTAACAGAGAAAAGACCCCCTAGTACTGGGCCCCGTCACAATGAGGGTCTGGGCATACATCTTCTCTGAAATTCTCAGCACTAGCTGCCCAGCTGTTACCACTGCTAAGCCCTCTCTCTGCTCTTTGGTGAGATCCCTGCGTGTCTGGGATCACGGCTGTGCTTGGCAGTACTGTGCAAAGACCTGCTCGTTCTGCTGCCTCCCTCCCATTCAACAGAAGCTGATCTGTGCTCCAGCCCCTCGGAGCCCTTTGCTAACACCGTTCTCTGGGTGATGCTTTTCACCTGCACATCCCCACTTCCCCGCCCCTGTCTCCGTTCTCTCCCTCCACTCTGACCGCCCCGTCAAATGTTCTGCTACCTGCCTTCTCTTCTCCACAGAGCCACTGTCTTCCTTCACGCTCTGTTTTCCCTCTTTGCCACAATTCTCCTGAATGCCCCAGCCCCTTGCCCAAGCCCTTCACGCTGCCGGCCCTTCTGAAGGCTCCCAGCAACCCTTTTCCCCACCCCTGCCCCCTGCCCAGATTCTCTCAAGATCCTCCACCGCCGCCACCTTGCCCCACCCCTCCCCAAGCAGTCTGCCTAGCTTTCTTCCCTGTCGGGCCCCTTACATTTCCCAACCCTCCTCCTCTTGCCCATGTCTTCTCCTCAAGTGCAGTTCTCCATCCTAAAGTCCTCCCATACATGGTGTGCCCCTACCCCACCCTGTATCGGTGCTTGACTCCAGCGTGGGGGCACACCACCCCATACCGGTGCCTGTCCCGGGTGTGCCCCTACCCTATACTGGTGTCTGCCCCAGCTGGAGGGTTGATAAAACTATATTAATTCATAAAGAAACTGATCCAGTGGGACTAACTCACTGCTCACGTTGCACATACTTTCTATGCCAGCAGCCCAGAAACCATTCCTTCTAGAGAGCTCCACTAACCAATGCTAAGGGGAAGACCCTCAGCCCTTCTCCACCTCACACTGGCGCCTGGCTCAGGTGTGCCCCTACCCTATACCAGTGCCCAGTCCTGGTGCCCGTCCCCGGTGTGCCCGCACCTACCAGCAGCGGCGACCAGCAGGCCAGGAGCACGCACATGATGCCCAGCAGCTGGATGAGCGTCTCGGTGGCGATGCGGCCCCACTGCTTGCCGGCCCGCGACGCCGTCACCTTGGCGCGGCAGCGCGACACCAGCGCCAAGATGGTGGCCACGTTGCAGGCCGCGGTGACCAGCAGCGAGGCCAGCCCCAGGAAGGCGAAGGCGGCGGCGAAGGCGGCGCCGCCCGGCACCTCGATGAAGCACCAGGTGCCGGGCCACTGCAGCGCGTAGCGGCCCACGCCCGCCAGCGGCAGCAGCGCGAAGGCCAGCCCGGCCAGCCAGATGCCCAGCAGCGCCGCCTTGGTGACGCCGGGCCGCATGTGGCTCGAGTACCAGTGCGGGGCCCGCGTGGCCAGCGCGCGCTCGGCCGCCATGGCGCTGGCGATGAAGAGCGGGCAGAGGCCGAAGGCCGTCATGCTGAG